TCCCTTCCAGGACTAGGCGCTGTGGTTCCCTCCACACCCATCGCGCCCCCCTCTATCTCCCCCCCCCCTCCAGGACCAGGATTAGGCCCAGGCTAGCCTGGACCCCCGGAAGCACGAGAGCCACAGGCCAGGACAGGCTGGCGGAGGATTAATGAAACAGGCGGCACGTGGCTGACTGTTGCTGCTGCTGCTGCTAGTACAGAAGTACTTGGAGTAAAGAAAAAAGAGGAGATCAGCGAGACAGAGACAGAGACAGACAGAAAAAGGGCGAATCGAGAGGCCTGCCACCATGATCTTGGCCCGATGGGCCGCTGGGCCAACCGCAGCGCCCCCAGACCCTCCGCCGGGCGAGGGCGAAGGCGGCACGAGCCAGGGACAGATCCCTGAGCAAGGCCCCGGACAAGTCCCTGGACACGGAGCAGTCCCTGGGGCAGTACCTGGAGCGGGAGATGGCGCCACGACCAAAGTGGCCAAGTCGACTCCGGGGAAGAGGACGAGGACCGGCAAGACGAGCCGCAAGTCCAAGATGAATAAGAAGACGGCGTCGTCCACCCCGCCGCTGTCTTCTGCACCCGCGTCTGCAGGCGCATCCAGGGCCACATCGCTGTCCCCAACCTTTCCCTCGCCCGTCGCCGTCACACGGCCGTCGACGAGGACGACGTCGAGAACCTCGTCCTCCTCCTCGGCGCCGACGACGAGATCGACGAGAACATCCACTGCCGCCAACACAAACGCCAACGCAACCCCCACCACATCACCACCCACCACCTCGGCCGCCGCCATACATCGGCGCGCCTTCAGGAACATGGAGCCGCCCGTTGTGTCCTTCTACGGCAACGAGCCCATTCCGCTGCCGTCGCGCTTCGCCGGCGTCAAGCGGCGGCTCATCACGGGCCACGAAGCCGCCGTCGAGGCTTCTTGGCGCCGCCTGCTCGTGGCTCTCGCCCGTGAGATTGACGAGATTCAGCGTCGCGGCGCCGAGCTCATCCCGACCATTAATTTCAACGACATCAACGACCCTGTGCGCGTCGACGCCTTTGCCCACCGCCTCAAGCGCTATGGTGTCGCCGTCATCCGCGGCGTCGTGCCCGAAGACGAGGCCAAGGAGTGGGTGCAGGAAACCCGCGAGTATCTTGACACGAACCGCGAGTTCAAGCCGCCGGCTCTCCACGATCCGACCTGTATCGATCTCTTTTGGACGCCTGTCCAAGTCCGAGCGAGAGCGCATCCCAACATGCTGCGTGCCCAGCGCTTCGCCATGAGCTTCTGGGAGTCGACGGACGACCTGCACATCACGCGATGCCCCGTCAGCTACGCCGATCGTCTGCGCATTCACAATGACAAGCTCGGCGCCGTGGGCCAGCAGAACGGCAACTCGGCCGCCGACTCGCTCTCCGCGAGTGCATCGTCCACCGTCATCGCCCAGGTCGACAGTGGTTCCCTCGAGCGCTGGGAACCTGATGGCTACGGGCGTGGCGGTACCTACGAAGCCGTCTTCCGCGGTGACTGGGAGTCCTACGACCCCTGGGATCCAGCCGGTCGCGTCGGCGCCACCACCGATCTCTACAACGGTGCCGGTGCCTGCAGCGTCTTTCGCATGTTCCAGGGTATTCTCGCCCTGACCGACATTGAGCAGGGCATGGTGCGCGTGCTGCCTTCGCCTAAGCTTGTCGCCGCCTACTTCCTGCTGCGGCCCTTTTTCTCCCCACGCCGTCCTCCTCCTGAGCAGCCCGATGGCGGCAAAGCTGATCAGTGGGCCGCCTACCTCGATGCCGACAACTGGGCCCTCGACCCAGAACCCTCGACCGTCATTCACGGCGCCGTTCCCGGCCACGCCCAACGTATCACCGAGCGCTGGCACCCCCATCTTCACATGCGCCGCAGTCTCGTCTCCCTGCCTGCCCTGCAACCCGGTGACTATGTCATCTGGCACTGCGACGAGGCATACTCCATCATCAGCGGAGGCACCCGTCTCGGCGTGCCTCCTTCTATGCAGACAGAGTCGAACGAGCTCTCGCTGCTAACTTACATGCCCGTCTGCCCCCTGACCCAGACCAACGCCCTCTTCCTCGCACGCCAGCGCAAAGCCTTCCAGACGGGTCAGCCGGGTCCCGACTTTGACACCCTCAGCGGCCTGGGCAGCGAGGCCTCTCACATTCAACGCCCCGACGCCGCGACCATCGAGCGCTACGGCGGTGTAGAGGGTCTGCGCGCCATGGGCCTCGCGCCCTGGGATATTGAGCCCGCCGGCGCACCGCCGCGTTCGGTGCCCGCATCAGATGCGATGGACGTCGACAGCGGCGAGCCCCCCAAAGCGTCGGCGCCGGCCGAACAAGACGAGGACGAGAACGACGCGACGCGCTCGGCGTCGAGCCACAGCGAAGCCGAGGCCGAACTTCTGCGCCTCGCCAACATCATCCTCTTCCCGAGCCGCTATGACTTTTACATCCCCGGCGGCTCGGGCCGCAGCG